GGTATTCCAACTATATCAATTTCTTTTTCAATTTTTGGATTTCTTTTCTGTTCTGTTGCTTTATCTTCAATTATGTCTTGCATTGCATCTTTGGCTATCTTTGTCAACTTTTGTTTTTGCTCTTCTACCTGTTCTTCAACTTCCTTTCTTCGATGGGTAGCTGTGTTTTTATTTGTTTACTGTTTCTAAAACTTATCTTTGCATCTTCTTTTCTTTGAACAGTTGCAATATCTTATTGCAGTTCTCTATTCTGCTGTTGGATTTCTTTTTCTTCTCTTAGTGTTGCCTTTTGCATTTGCCTTACTAAGTCTAATTTTTTCTCTGGTTGTTCTTTTTCAGCTTTTTCTATTATCACTCTTGCTATTTATAGAAAAGCTACTTCATTTGTATCTTGCTCAGTGAGCATTGCTACGATTTCATCCTCTCTGTCTGGCACTATATATGTATTGCTTGCTTTATTAAAGAAATGCTTATTGTGTACATTTTCCAATTCCCAGTAAGCTTTTCTTATACAGATTGCTTTTATGTTCCTTCTATACTCTTCAGGCAAACTTTTATCCATTGCTAAATCTGTTCTTTTCTAGAATCTTTTTCTATTTTATTACTATATATTGGTTCATCTATCTTGTATATGGCCACTTGCACATGTTTGTTGTTGTTGCTTAATATGTTACATGACTTTGTGCAACATAAACAGATCTACTTTCAGGGTCAGATAAAAATCCCTACAATTGTCGTTTCAGTACTAAAATTTTTCTAAAAGCCTTGCTTTTCTCTTATAACTACTCTAATATTACTGTGTTCTTTTGGCTTTTAAGATTGTTTAATGCACTTTTTGTTGCTGCTTCTTTTAGCTTAGTGCTGTTTGGGTGGTTTCTTATTGGTTTTCTTGGGAAAACTTAAGTTCCTTTTTTAACGATTTTGTGTTAGAGTAATCATTGGGAAGAGTTCAAAAATTCTGTATTTTAATATATTATTATTTCTATTATTATATTATTTATTAGTTATAATTATTTTAATGCTTTAAACATTTTAATGTCTTAAGCTTGTAATATTAATTACTTAGTTCCTTAATCTCTTAGTTGCTTAGTCTCTTAGTTGCTTAGTCTCTTATCATTTAGTTACTTAGTCTCTTAGTTGTTTAGTCCCTTAGTTGCTTAGTTGCTTGGTCTCTTAGTTACTTAATCCCTTAGTCACTTAACTTACAGATATATAAATCTCTAAAATTCTTTCAAATCAAAGTAAGTTCTACAGTTAACAGTTCAGAGAAACAAACAATTCTTCTTCTTCTTTATTCTGTAAATAATATCTTAAATTCTTTAAGACAAGTGTCTAAGGATAACCTTTCTTGTTATTATTTTAATAAATGTTTTTAACTATAAACCACTATGTAATAATTATCAAACTGTCTCAAAGATAGGTATAGTTTTTTGATAACATCTAACAAGAACTATACTTCTCTCTTAGACACTGCATATACTTATAAAGAATTTTCTGTACTGTGTCATTGTTGTAGTATGGAATTAAGAAGGCTTTTACTCTATAACAATATAATTTTTTTGTCTATTAGAATTGCTATTACTAATAAATTATATATACAATTAAATTATTATTGTATTATTTCAGAAAAAAGAATAATATAATAATATCTGAATTTGAAGATTCATCTAATAATATTGTGCAAGAATAATTTTAATTATTTTGCTAATATAATAAGCAAAATAAGGCACTATTTGAAAACTTGTTGAATGTAGTTTTAATAACAATACAAATTGATTACAAAAGAAAATTTTATATAACTTGAATAAGTATTTTTTTATTAGATAATTAATTTTATAAATTATTTTGATTTATATAATAAATACAGAATAATTTAAGACTATATACTTTATTAATATAAATCTTGTTTTAAATATTATTTTGCTTTTTTTTATTATGATTATAAGGAGGAATAAAAGCTAATGAAATTTGACTACTGTATAATATAAACTAAAAGACCTCTATTTTAGTATTTTTTAATTTTCAAAAACCTAAATATATTGTATCTAAGGTATTGAAGATAGATAAATTGTAAAATACTCAGATACTAAAAATAAATAACTTGCACTTAGATTATAAAAATATATAACCTATATCTTTACACTATTCTTTGACTATAATATTTGTATATACAGATTAACCTGTTAAGTATTCTGAATATTTTAGTCTACATTGCATAATACATATTACAGAAAAAATCTATAAACACAAATTTAAATTTATACTAAACTTAGAAATAATATTATCAAATTTTCTAAATAAAAATTTAAATTCTTATAAGTTTTTTTTATGCATCACTTATATAGCTTCAGGTCAAATGTTATAGTGCATTTCAAATTTACTCAAATTACAATATAAGTTGAAAATAAAAAACTGTTTGAATATTAAAGTTAGTTAAAAAAAATCATTATACTTAAATATTAAATAGACAAAACTCATATATTTTATGAAACCAAATGAATTGCTAACTATTATATTTGTTATTGTTAAAGAAAATATTTTTTTTTTGAATAGAAAATCAAGGCTTAGAAGTCTTTTATAAGATCAAATGATGTTCGAATATTTCAATTTTTTATTTTATATATATGTTGTAAAAGACAGATTTTGAGTTACTAAATCTCTAAATCACAAGCTATAATACTGTAATAGTTTAATAATACTTCTATAAGTACATATTTAAGACAAAACTTTAACAATATGTATTTAAAGAACAATGAAAAAAATATATTTATAGAAGTCATATTTTAATCAAAATTTGTGTATGCAAGTAGAAAAAATATGCACTTCTATAGGATGCATTTTTGAATGTATTAGTATAGTAATATAACATGTAATATGTATTTATGAATTTGATTGATAATTATTTTTTTCTAAAAGCTTAATAGTTCTTTTATTTAATGTAACTAAGACAAATTCAGGTTAACTGAAAAAGATTTAACAACATATATAAAATATATTTTTTTGATTCAATATTATTTTTAAAATATTATTACTATAAATAGAAGGTTCTAATCTACAAACTACCAAATTTTGATAAAGATTAACAGTGATTTTGAAAACTTTTATTAGTAATATATTTTTATGATCTATATGAAATCCTTTGTATTACTAAAATCATATAATAAATGATCAACACATTTTCTACCTTTAAATGTAATTAAAAAAATCATATCTCTTAATAATTACAAATCATCTATTTTTACTTCAATAATAAAACTTGTAATGCTTTTTATTTATGACCTTAACAAAACAAAATTGAATAAATTTTGTTATTTAAATTAAAAACTTATAATTTCAAATTTATTTTATTTTATATTAAATAAAATAATAAGTATGTTTTTACTATAAAACAAAAGTTCAAAACTCAAAAAATAAAATTTATCTAAAGTCAAAAATATTATTTATTATTAATTATTTAACATGTGTCAAAAAATTACTATATAAATCAATATGATTGTGACTGTTATAACATACACAGAATTAAACTTCACAAAATTATACCTGAATTTTTTTTTAAAAAAACCGACCCAATAATTGAAACTCAATTCTATATATAAAGCTAACGCTCATATTGTTTTTTAAAAAACTTATCTGTAAAAAATTTTAGCATTAAAATAATACTATATTTTGGCGAAATACATTACAGGTTTCGCATACCAATTTCGTACACCCATATCAAGAAAGTGCCTTCTTTTAAGTACTTACCAATTGATATTTTTATGTTGATGGGTACATTATTGATAGGGGTGTAAAATTACAGCAGAGACCGTTAATGTTAACGGTTCTACCATAAAATCCTGACATCTAAAATCTCGAAAACCATAATTCTGACATCATGTGGCGTAACAATTAATATTTAAATATTAGTAATCACATTAACAATCATTGTCAGACTTTAAAATTTTAATTGTCGCATCGCGTGATGTCGAGATTATGGATTTCGAGATTTTGAATGTCGGGATTTTTTGGTAGAACCGATGTTAACGTATATTAAAAGTGGTGAGGGATTATATCCAGCATAAATGATTTAATTTGTGATTGATTAGATATCAAATAACATATAGCAGTGATGTTTGTGACGTATATAGTGACGTATTGACGTATATTATATGACGTAACGGTGACGCAAAGAGTTAGCTACCTTTGACTTTTAATACTGGTGAGAGGGATTTCACTCACCGTCTCTGCTGTAGTACGAAATTGGTATGCGAAACCTGTAATTTTATTAACCAATCACGATTACAAGAAATTGAATATAAAGAAATTTTTAATCAATCATTCATGTAATTAGTGTTATCAATTTTCATAGTTACAGTTAATTCCAATTTCATCAATATGTAATCACCCATCACTAATGCAGACCCTGAATTTCGAATTAGTCTGTGTTTATATGATGCAATAATTGCAATCGCAATTAACCAAACAGTAGTTTTGGGTTTTTAATTTAGGTCCAATTCCAAAAATGTGCCCCGAATGAAAATATGTTGACTACCACCTATCCAAAATCGATAAAAATTATTTTAATTATGCAATTCTATCGAACCCAAATAAAGGATTTTTACTGATTTTAAATAAGTGGCTATCAACTTCGTTAAAATTTACATTTTGATTTTCAATTTCGCCGATCAAATTGGAAGCTCAAGTAGAACTCCACGTTAGGATCATTTTATTTTGCGACAATAACCACCCGAGTTATCACAATCCAAACAAATTATTTTTTGACGATAATACATAATTTAGACATACACGTAAACACTTCGTACATAAATAAAAAAATTATTTAATAAAACCATTTAAGATTGTTCATTATATAAGTGTATATCGCCGCAACCTTTTTTTTTTTTGCACGGTTAATATCCTAAAAACATACGAATAAAAATTGTTTAATTGAACAATTACTTCAACTTCAACAATTGGAAAAAGTAGAAATATTACAAAGAAATTTTTAACGAAAAAGTACATTATCCCCTAATATATAGCGCTTTTTCCCCCCCTACTCTTCCCGTACGTCTTGTTTTGTCAACATGGTCAAGACCTAAAAGTTCATCTGTCCATTTATGTTCCGATAGAATAACATCTATTTATATTCAGGAATTCGCATAATGATTATCAGAAATTTTGATTGTTTAAAAATAAAAAATTAAAAGAGGGTATACATACTATCATCGTCTATATATTGAGGCTTGGCATATGACACCGCTTGCACAATTGCAACTTTCACCTTCGAGAAATCTTTTTCGTTCATTCCTAAGCGAGATTGAAGGCGCGACTTCGTCTCAGAGAAAGGTTCTCCCTGATTGTATAAAACGTAAAAACAGTATAAATGCAAGTAATTACATGAGAATGATATTCAAAAATACTAACCGCCTTAATAACAAATTTGAATGGGATTCCATGCGTGTGTAACAGTTCCTTAGTAAAATGAAATACTTGAACAACTTTATCATTCAGATCTTTCTCGTTTTCTTCTTGTGGTATTTCCTAAATATGAAATAAGTTGTTTCAAAAAATAATGACAAGATAATAAATATTCAAAGGTAAACAAATGAAAGAACAAACCTCCGCATATAAGTTCATTTGTTCCTGTATTTTATCTATTGGATCATTGATATCATATTCTTTCTGGATCTTACCATGTAAGACATCATACAATCTAATTCTGCTGGTAGGTCCTGGCAATGACAGTTTTTGTACAATTACTTCTAAAACTTCATTAACTACGGCAGTCTTTGGAAGACTAATATTGATTGCCTCCTTTAAAAAGGAAAATGATAATTAGTAATTGACCAATATATAAATCCGATTATGTTCTTTTACCTCTTCCTTAAAAGTTGTCCCAAGCCAGTATACTTTAAAGAACTTCTTAGTCTCTAATTCTACAATACTAATGTCAAGCATCTCATAATACAAAAGATTCGCTGAGTTAGGCAGATAGGTTGTCTGAAGCATCTCTGACAGTGTTTGGTTGGTCACCCTCTTAATTACAGTTTTGCATATACCGGACGTTGGATGTGCCGTTGTAAACCGTAATTTCAAAGGATCCGTGTTTAAAAAAGCGGCAACGCGTTTAGCGACCTACATGAATATATAGAAGACATATTAAATTATTAAGTTCATATCGGACATTATGATATGATGTTTTGGCGAATTTCTATATGAACAGAAAATCGTTAAAACATCATATTATACTTCTACACTTTATGTTTCGTAATAAATGTAAAAAATTTTAAACGTACTTCATCATATGTGAACTTCTTATTTAAAACCAATTCAAACTCCGGTTTTTGTTCCCGGTCCTTATGCTTTGGTTTAAATTGAACGACAATGCGCATAGATAATGACTCGTAGAATGTAGGAATATCACGAATACGACCTGCAGCAGTATGTTCTTGTGCTCTAAATGGAGGCAAAAAAAATCGGCTTACAAATAAAAAGTAATTACAAACAAAACAAGATCAGGTTAATAAGTAACTTACTCTTTTTCTGTTAAAGCCTTTTGGAAACAAATTATATCACCATCTTGTATCTCAGATTGTTGAAAAGTCAATTTCGGTTTCATCTCCTCAATCATGTTCGGTTTTATCTCCTATATTTTATTAAATAAATAGGCTGTTACTATTTGCAGAACAAAGACAAATATATACGTAAAATACATCTTACTTCATATATTTTCAATGGTGTGTGAGGTGGAAATTCCTTTTTCTCGCAAAGAATCGGAATAATATCACCAACTTTACCAAACTTTTGAATATATAACGAACACAGTCCTCTGTGTAATAAACGCATAAATTAATTCTCATATCAAATGAATAACTAAACAAATTTAAAATCACATACTCTAGAGATTGTGTATCGGGATTAAAGTATTTGACAAAAACCATTATAAGAGAGTTTCCTTCCGTTGTTGGGAACCATGTCTACATATTAAATAAACAATTGAAATAAATATCCAATAACATATATATAATATATAATTAAATACTGAGTACTACTTTGCCGTTAATTGGTTTATCTGCCACTTCCAAAAATAATTTCAGTTCATTTTGTCTTGAAGCCATTTTAGTGTGAATTTCTTCCATTGCTATTTATCACAAAAATTAATAAATTTATTATGAATGAAAAGAGCCGCATTTTTGACTTACTCATGCCATGAAATTGGTCTGGTATTGGAGTATCTGGTCTAACAGTCTTATTTTGGCGATTTACAAGAACCCAGAACCTCATTTGCTCAACCGGAATCATAAATTTATGAGCGACCTGTGCTTTGAAATTCCCATAAGTCTCACTTTTCAAAACCTTATATTGTGGAACTTCAGATAGCGGATATTGTCGATCGTCAAAATTAGCGAGATCAAACCCTTGATGATGTTCAAAGGTATTTGGAGTCACGATCTAATAGTGAGTTTAAAATAAAGTTTAAACTACAATGAAAAATCCAAATTTATTATTAATCCTCATATAATGTCGTTGCGTAATTACCTTAGTAATCAAGTATAAATGACGTTCTTCGGCTTCCTTTTTCTTTTGCTCAAATAAAGCTTTCTCTTCATCTAAGCGTCTTTCTATTAAACATGTATGTAAAAGATAAATTCACAGTGATCTCAAGTTACAACGTTTCATAAACAAGAACACTCACGTAAATGTTCTGGTATATCTTTAGCAACTACCGGAGATAGCACCCAATCAACATCAGATTCACGGATATAAACCAACATATATGCATTCGTAAATCGTTTAATATTTCTACCACCGGTTCGAATTGCAGGTGAGAGACTTGCATTAGGAACTTCACTTCCCCCGAAATTATCTTCAAGTACCTCTTTATCTGTTACAGGCGTAATTCTGTCATCATCAAATTTTAGCCTGTTATAATGATTAATTTTAGTTGTCTACCAACTATACGATTCAATAATTAGATTACAAAAAAAATTCAAATTGGCAAACCATTTTCCATTTTTTTCTGGTTTTAATAAAGCAAAATAATGTCCTCCATGTAAATCACCGCTGTGAACAAGAACTCTTGGTATATTAAAAAGACACGTACATTAATTTATTATGAAAAATCGTATTTACTAATACATGTGGCATCGTGCTGTTACAAACCCGTGAAGTAAATATTTGAAAGATTTTGATCTATCCGCATCTGGTGACAAATATCTTTGTAAATCAATTTCCATAGGAAATTCATAACGATCATTTATCTTTTATGAAAAATATAATTTTTGATCAATTAATTGAAAAATAGAGCTCATAATAAAAATTTAGGTACCTTAACCGGGGTGTCCCTTTGCATATCGTAGTCAAACCGTTTTAAATGCAAATGAAGCACCGGTGGGAAACTTTCAAAAAACATTCCTTTCTTTGCATCCTATAAGCAATTTGAATTAACATACTTGCACTAAATGAAGTAATTTTATCTATGTGTATTCTACACTTAGTTGTCAATGTCGACGTAACTAATATTCTACTTACTTGTAAGCCATATCCTTCAGCGTGGTACTTATTTTCTCCTTCCAAAGTCTCCTCTTGTATATACTCCATGAAAGAATCATCCAAAGTTTTGCATCCCTTTACGTTGAGTTGAATATCTACCGCAATATAATAAAATGTTATTTCAAATCTAATCTAAAAAATATTAACCTATTTACAGATATACATTGCTACCATAGTAATCTTCAACACGGGAAGACTCATAGTCTACGCTGACGCATTTAACATAGCTCTTTGTCTTGCCACCAAAGAGCTTAGAAATAGCAGCATCTGCTTCTGTATTCTGAATCGAGCAAAATACCCGTTATAATTTACAGCAAGAAAGGTTTGAATTAGTTAAAGTTCACTCAATTCAACAAATAATAAAACCCACCTTCATTTTACCCTCTAAGTTGTCCTGTAACAATCTGTTAAACTCTTGTATATCATGCTGATTAAATGAGTCTAACGAATCCCATCCGAAAGATCTCGTTAATTCCGTTGTTCCAACCGGAGTATCTGATGTTTGTAATTGGTAAAAAACTCTTTGCAGTGCTAAGGAAATGCTTTTGACTGGCTCGTCGTCTTCGGTAGGAATCTGATAAACCGCCTATGAGCATATACGTATACATGTAAATATGTATTATTAAACGTAGATGTTAGAGAGTTTGAATCGTCCAAGTAAAACAGTAATAATAATAATGAAGTATCGTTCACTAACCTTACGGAAGTATGTCGTACAGTAGAGTGATTGGAGTAACGAGTTCATGTAACATGTAGCACCTTGATTCTTCAGGCCCACATATCCGGTTTCCTTCTTTGAATCATAACTATATGAATAGGTTAAACACAACGCCAGAAATATTGAAGGCCATAACAAAGAATATTTGCAGATTAAGGTTCGAATGATATAAAGAAAGTAAGTAAAATACTTGATGAAATTATGCCACAGAACGCCTGTAGGATCCTTCAAAACTCGAACGAACGCCGTGATGTTGCAACTATCATTTTCGATTAATGGGCGCATTCGATTATCGGACGGATTGAATAATTTACGGAGATCATAAAATCGTGTAAACCCCCAATCTGATTCCTCGGCGGTGAAACGATGATGCGCGTCTATGTACAAAAAAAGTTTTTAATATATTCGAAACCAAAGAAGAAACACAAGAGGATATGTTTTATATTTCAAAGATCAATCGAATAGTGATCTAAACACGGATTACGTACTATGGTTAATAAAGAGAGTTGGGTCATGAGGATTCCACAAAACCAAAGCGAACTGTACACACGAGTGCCAACCAGCTGGTGCACCTTTTGGATCGGCAAAATCTAGATAAATGGATACCGTGTCCGAATTGTTGTTTCCAGAAGGAAAAAGCAAAATACGCCTAAATATTCAAGTAAAAATATTTCTGTCATTAGTTTCTATCGTTAAATTACTGTACATATATATAAATATATATATATGAAAATACATAAGACTGCACCTACCATTTCCAACCTCCAGCTTCAAATTCGGGGCCCGTTATCCTTTTATCTAAACTTCGCCAATTGGTGATGTTCCATGTGTGGTACTGGAAATCTTCTATCTCATAACCAGGATCGGGCATAATTTTGTTGGCAATAGTATCATCTATGAAAAGGATGTAAATTAATCAAGCACCTTAAACATCGCAGAATAATATTGATCTTTTTTTTTTATTAAAAAAAAAGGGTATCTATTTATTGAAATACGCGAGTAATATTTTTATAGAAGCCTGTCACGCCTCAGACTGATATAAGCCCTTTAAATCAAACAAAAAAACATACAATCAGTTACAGCTAAAGGTGTAGTTTCCTCGACGTCAGACATAGGCCTATCTCCATCGATAGGTGTTGCTGATTCACCAGACATATCCATATTTTCATCCTAAAATATCAATAAGCGTGAAGATATTGGTATTAATATTAGCGACCAAATCTATTATTAAGCGCAAAATTACAAGTTCATTAGCACAAATGAACAAAGGAGCGGGTATACAACGATCTAAAAGCCCATTTAAACTACCAGTTTTGAAAAAAATAAGCTATGCAGTAAAGCTTAAAAGCATAAAAGTTGCACCCATAACCTGTGCTCAAACTCGACTAAAAAAAAATGCCCCTAAATGTGCCATGTAATTTAAATGAAAATACCATGCTGAAGTCTGCGGGTATTAATCTTGTGAGGTAAGATAAAGCTACTAAAAAGCAGACAAGCAGGAAGGGTTGTAAAAGAATCTCGGGGATTATGAAGTCAATGTTGATCGATTTGTTTTTGGTAAAAAAAAAAAGATAATGTATTGGATTCTTAAAGATTGAAAATCAAAAAATCGTAAAGACTTATGACACCATGGAACAGTGATAATCGTTAAAGTTACCGATTTGCACCTTAATTATAAATTGCTACTCTTGTACTCTAGTACTAAGGTAAGAAGTAAAACTACAGAGAACGTTCACGCAAGCTATTCACCTGAGTATAATCACTGTGTGTCACGTACGTACGTAACTACCCCAAGAACACCCCGAGGAATTCTGCGCAACAGCCAATCAGATTGCAAGATCAAGTGTAACACGAAAATCGAAAAGTTCACATAACCCAAAGAAAAAAACGTATTGGTATAAGCATTTTTTTTTCCTTAAATTTCACATGATACTTGATTTTGCAATCTAATTGGCTGCATCGAAATTTTTGGGGTGTTCTCGGAGTAGTTTACGTACGTACGTACGTAATCTCATGGGTTTTAAAGGCCACGAGATTTTATTACAAATACAAAAAATGATGGTTTATCTTATCATTATCGTTTTATCAGGGCTTCGAGCATGGTAATGTGACTTCGAACCAATCAGCGTTATTCAAATAGATCATGTATTCCTGAGCCTGGAATTTTGAGATTTGTATAACCCGAGCCTCCGGACTTCGATCGGATGCTTCGGATTCGGACCCGCGAAGTAGAGGTTGGAACCGGTTTTAATAATTCGGGTTTATCACATGAATGTTTGATATCTTGGAATTTATTAAAATTTATTTTGATAAATTTCTAAAATATCCCAAAATTCACGTGATAAACCCGAATTATTAAAACCGGTTTCAATCTCTACCGCGAAGCACTTAATACAACTTAAGAGTAGATTTTTTACAGGGGATCACCAAATTTCCGGGTCAAATCCATCTAATTTAGGCCGGAAAGTCGACCATTTCCAGGCCAAAATTATTAGCCGGGCAGCTTTACTTAATGTGTGGGCCATGACTTTATTAGCAAACCTTTTAGCATTAGTGATCTTGGGCAAAATAAGTTAATTTGACCCTGTTAATTATGATTCCGAAGTATTATGACACGAAATTTTGGTGAACTTCTATATGAGTTTAAGGGTATGATAAATGCTATATATATAAATAGATTACATTATAAGAAAATATTTTGCAATTTTTAATGCAATGTAACAATATCATTTTTGGCATAATAATGTATTACCAATTTTGGTAAATTAATATAAATAAATATTTTTTGATTATATTAATAAATATATATATATATTTTTTTTTATTATTATAGAGTGTTGTGACCTAGTAAAGTGAATAGGTTGTCAACTCTCAAGTGGCAGGTCTAAGGTTCAATTTCTATAGATGATAAATTTTGGAAATTATATCTGTATTATAGTAACTGTCTCTTGTCAATCAGTTGGGTTTTGGGTATCTGTAATCTTAGATATCATCGGGAAAGTTATATATATAGATATATATCGATTACTAACCATCCAAATATATAGCGATAGTAATCACCCCTGTCGAATTTCATCGATTTTGATTATAATCGCTATATAGCCAATTAATATACACATCGATTTATATCGTTTTCGATATTAATCGATATATAGCTGAA